AGAGAGAGAGAGAGAGAGAGAGAGAGAGAGAGAGAGAGAGAGAGAGAGAGAATGTAAGGTGGTTACCTCAAAAAGTTCCTCCGGCACCAGGTCGTGGTCTCGCAGCTGAGAGAGGAATCTGTGCGGTTGCTCGATGCACGAAATCTCCGTCTTCTTCCGGTGGAGAAAAAACAGCAACTCTTCAGTCGTTAGAAAGTTCAACGGCTCCATTAATTCGATCTATAACGCGACATGAAATCATTTCAGCGACTTTACAGCAGCATGCGGATTAATACAATGCAACAGATGCAGTTCTGTGTCAAATACATAATAATAATAAAGCAATGTCTCACACTTTGTGCCCAACTGAATAGATCAGAAATGGTACCTACAAGCGTTTTGCTGGCGTTAAACACAACAGTTGCATACCTGACTCTTGCATACCTGTCAACGGCCGAGATGTCTGGAATAATTTGTATATTTCTGTATTTGACACGACGAGGAGTAGGCTACTCAAACCGAAAGCGCCATTTCCGAATCTCCCGCCTGTATGTGACAGTCTAGCTAATAAAGCGAGAAGTAGGCGGAAGTGATGTAGAGAAAGCGAATGTAAACCTGTTACAGGAGGCTGGAGTTCCGCAAACCGGATCTAATGAACGATTTATTTTCAAAACAACAACAAACGAGAGCAGGGCGCCTATTTTAGGCACACCGTTTCGACGATTTATTAGGATGCTAATCATAATTTCATGTGTTCCAGTTCTGTTAATTACATAGATGCGAATGATGCTGTAATTAAGTTTAACCTCGTGACTTAAAAGGTTTTATTCAAATGTATTAAACCATGGTTTGATCAACCATGTGTTGATAAAACTGCAGTACAAGTTAAAAAAGCTTTCCAGTATTTATTTATTTATAACATGTCTGCTACACGGTTAAAGGGGCCGTATGATATGTTGCTAAAAAGAACATTATTTGGTGTAATGCAATGCGTTTATGCGGTTTAAAGGGTTAGTTCACCCAAAAATGAAAATTCGGTCATTAATTACTCACCCTCATGTCGTTCCAAACCCGTAAGACCTCCGTTCATCCTCAGAACACAAATTAAGATATTTGTTATGCATTCTGACAGCTCTCCCTCCCATAGACAGCAAGGGTCCTTACACGATCAACGTCCAGAAACGTAGCAAGGAGATCGGTAAAATAACCCATGTGACATCAGGGGTTCAACCATAATATTATTGAAGCTACAAGAATACTTTCTGGCGCAAAAGAAAAAAACCCCGGCTTTATTCAACTATTAGTCTCCTCCGTGTCACCAGCGCCATTTTGGAGAGTATCCACTGAATGCGAACAGTTCAGTGTTGATGCAGATGCAGATGCAAAAGAAAATGCCAAGACAAGACTTAAAAGCACATGCAAATACTGAATATCACTTTTGTGATAATGCATTGAGTCAGTGACATTTCTGTCAACTGTCCCTGGACTCGGTTGGACTCTGACATATTTTCTGAGTCCAAAAGGCTCGAGTCTGAGTCAAGTCCGAGTAAAAATGCATCCGAGTCTGTGACAAGTCTGAGTCCTTTAAAAAACTGTACTCGAGACCGGACTCGATTACCCCAACTCTATTATTGTTGCTCCTATATGACCCGCCTTACTGAAAGGCGTCGATTTTTACAAAGTTCATCTGTCTGAAAAGCAAGGTGTATGCAGATTAGCCAGCTATCCAGTGCGTTGTGATTGGCCGAATACCTCAAGCGTGTGACGGAAATGTTACGCCCCTCACCATACTGTGATGCTGTGTCCCGGCGCGACAAGACAAAACCAATAAAACCCATTATAAACGAGGCATTTGTTGCATCCAGTGGGGACATAATTCCTGATTATAATGACTTATACTGTCTTTTTACGCATTGCATTGCGTATCGCTCAGCATAAACATAAAACCATCTGCATTTGTGATCGGAGAAACAACAAGTGCTATTCTACACTGCTCAAAACTCGCGTTTGAATCATCAGTGGCAAATTCTTTAAATATGAAAACGTACTTACAGTCTGCGAGTCAGAACAGCCGGCATTGTCCCTATGACCCTATCCCAGGATCAGGAAACAGTCCTCCACAAAATGCACATATCTGAATATTTGGGTTGAAGTGTTCTGGAACAGTGTTGTAAATACAACTTAACCACTGATTTCTAGTCGTGTCCTCTTTTGGAAGACCAAACAAAGAAGTTTCGCTTTCACAACGAAACACACAGCGTCTCCACAACATGGTGGCGGCGGCAACAATACTACAGTGAGAATAAAAGTTACGCCTTCTTTCTTTGCGTAAACATTTGGGCGGTGTTATGCAAATCTTCCCACACAGTGACGTAGACATGTGGGGGCGTGTTTAAACGAGGTGTTTTAGGAGGACGTGGACGACACTTCACTTTTTTTAAAGAATATCTCTTTGGGTTTGAGACTTTAGTCTTTGCAACTTTAGGGATCTTATCTATCCACAAACAGCTTGTAACGTCAAAGATAAAGAAAAAATTGAAATCATCATCATATGACCCCTTTAAGCCCCACAAAAGGCACAAAATCATTATAAAGCACCATAAAGTTTCCTTGCACTATATTCCAAGTGTTCTGAAGCCATTCCATAGTTTAATGTGAGGTACAGATGAATTTTTAAGTCGTTAAATTCAAGTTCACTTAAACTCTAATCTCCGCTGCGGCTGTCTGTCATCCTCCATTCAGCATTCAAACTGCGAGTCACGTTCGGTTACGACAGTCAAGACAATGAAAATCTATCCAAGATGATTCACTGTTCCTATTATACTTGATCTGTAGATAAATATCAGTGGTTTTGCATAAAAGGACTTTATCTTGCCGGAGTTTAGTGCTGTTTTTAAATCACGTTATTTTCACGTTTATTTTTTCTCGTCAGTCAAATCCTCAAATTTGTAAACCCCCAGGGCTGTTTCTAGGCATAGGCGAGCTAGGCGGTCGCCTAGGGCGCCACCAGCTGAAGGGGCGCCAATGAGGCTAAGACATTGCACATAATTTACACATAAATTAATTTTATTACATTTTGATTTGGATACTATATACTATACTACTACATATTGTTTAGATATTATCAATGGCTACTTTTTTGTCTTTATCTGTTTTTTGTTCAATTTTTTTGTTGTTGTTTCTTGAAACATTGATTTAAAGTGTCAGTTATTGCATTATTATTTCAGTCAAACCTATAAAACCCCTTTGTTACCCCAATCTACATTTAAAAGCTTTATCAGGCATAAAAGTAACCAATGCAGCTACTTAATCATTTGCTACTCGTTAACGCGTTAACTTCCCCTTTAAATAACGTGACGCTCTGCCCATGACGCTGCTCCCATTAAGCGCTAATAATTTTAATTATTTGTACAGAATGCGATATGAGGATGTTAGAATGCTAGAGCCTTGATGTAAGCAGGTTGTGTGCTGTTTTCATCCAATCAATGACACTGACGCCACATATATGCAAATAAGAATGTTAACCTGGAGTTTAGGAATGTACAGTGTCAATCCCAGGTAAATTATGAGCATTGTGAAATGTTAAGCAAGATAACTTATTTCCTTAAATATTTCCTTTTGACATTGATCAGAGTGTGCGTTAATGCAAACCCGCCAAAATGTCAAGACCAATTTTTATAAAAACATTTTATGGGTATTATATTATCATTTAAATAAAAAAATATTGATACCTCTGATAGTGGAACGTTCCACGGGTGCAAATGGACATCCAGTATGTTTTCTTTCGGTCTCTCAGTTATTGGTCGCAGAAAGACAAGTACTTGGGCAAAGACAGGGGAAGGAGGAAAGATCATCCTTTTTATGAGCCCAAAGATGGAGAGGTCTTTGATGTCAATCATAAAACAATATATGTCTTAGATGTCATGCTCTGAAAATTAGCGTCGGGTAAAATAGCATTATAATCTCCTTTGGTAGAAAAAGCTGCTTACATGTGGCTACACGGGGAGTAACAGAGAATATGTTGAATTAAACGTAAACACAGCTCATGAGTCTTAATCAGCTTTTCCACATGTACATACTGGCCCTGATAATCATAGGTTCTACTTACGGCTTGCTCCATTTCTGCATATCAGTTTTTGTGAATGAATGACTTGCTCTACCTATTGCTTTGATTCAACATGCTTTTTTGTTTCAAAGACATTTGTCATTATTTTTCTTCCATAATCATGTTACACTTTGTTATAATGAGAGATTCTCGAGAGTGCAGCACTGAACAAAACTGTGGTCTTATGAGCGATGAGTGGATTCTAACTGAAACGCTTGGCCATTGCTTTCAAGAAATAAACAGAAGATGTATGATTGTCTACATTAATCAATGGTAAAAAAAATAATAATAATAACACGTTGAAAATAGAAACCATAATTTTTTAAGATTTCATCAGTGTTTGAACCATTAAAGAAGAAACCGCATTTTATGTTTTCATTTCTGGGTTCAAAAATTTAAAATGAATGGACGCAAAAGTACATGGACCCTCGCAGCATTAGAAAGGACATCTTATACATTATAATGAGTTCTAATGAATATTCAAGGGTATCCAGAGCTCAATTGTATCTTTAAAAGACTTGTAAAAGAGAGTTGTTATTGGATACTGAAGATTTTCTGGAACTCTTCCTCGAACATTTTCTTCAGCCAGGGACCCATTCGGCCAAACACATTGTCCTTTAGAGAGCAAGAGAACAAAATACAAAAAAAATCACACGTCCAAAAGTTAATAATCTCAACAATAATCATCAATAATGTCCAAAGATATGCGTCCACGTATAAGACATTGGAAAACAACTTAATTTTAACAAGGTCTTGATCTGTTTTTTGGTGAATTTTTTATTATGTAACGTGTTTCAGTGAATCTTACCCTATTGAACGTGCTGCAGTTGCTGAAAATGAGCCGAAAGTCTGAGACGAATGCTCCTACCGTCTGATACTCTCCACTTTCCAACTTCTGCTTTATTCTGTCCAGCCACATCGGCTGAGATATGAACTCGGAGTATCTGGGCACCTGGAAGTCATTTTATTTTTGTTTTTATTTATTTTAAATTTCATTTCATATCTTTCATCACTTTTGTTCTACTTATAAACTATTTTAAATTAAACTAAGGCATGAAAAGAGTAGCAAATGTAAACGACAGAGATGAAATAAAGAGACAATCTCACCGTTTGCTGTGGATCCTCAACAAACACCTTCTGGATGTCCTCTCTGTACACACATAACAGGAGGTAGTGGCAGTGCTAAAGATGACAAACAACACACATATCCACAATTAGGCCCAAAAATATTTGTTCTGTTTCTAAATCTGCTGAGCAGCCTATGTAGACAGCACTTTAAGACATCAGAGGCTGTTACAAAATGTGAGCACCTTAAATGTTTATGGTCATCTTCTATATTAAGGTGCTGAGTTTGTGTGTGTGTGTGTGTGTGCGTTTACCAATCTGTACTGAGACACTGGGGCACCGAAAGCCTCTTGTTCAGACATGTTACTGGAGTCACGCCATTGTTGACTGGTTCTTAACACGCAAAAGGTACAAATCCATTCCCTACAAGCAAACACACACATATACTGAATGAATGTACAACACACACACTTGCTGATTTAATGATTTTCTATCTGTTTGTCTCTCTCACCCAGGTGAGTCTCCGTGTACAGCTGGTAGGTGACAGTGTGAATGAAAAGCTCGTGGACACTCGTCACAACACACAAGACGTCCCTCAGAGCGACACACGTAACACTCGTCATCATTGTTCTGTGCCATCTAGTCATTACAGGATATAACATTTTATCATCATCACAGAAATAAGCTCAAATGTATTTTGCTTTTCTATTTTACAATCTTGTTTTGTTATATAGTCAGTATTTTTTCCATACCATGGAAGTCAATAACTATTGTTAACAGTTTGGTTATTCTTAAAATACTCTCTTATGTGTTCAACAGAAGGACAAAACTTATAATACAGGTTTAGATCAAGTGGAGGGTGAGTAAATGATGACCGATGGTGCTTCTTAATTAGTGGTCGACCGATATATCGCCAAGGCCGATATATCGGCCGATATTTGGCATTTTTCAAATATCGGCATTGGCCGATAAGTTTTTCTGTTTGTCCGATGTGTTCATGGAAGGACTTTTATTTTGACGGCACTGAGAACGGCAGCGCCTGAACACACAGTGCTCACATTCTCCCTCTTGTTCGCTGTCGTCCTTAACAGTGCTGTCCACGGACAGAAGTCTGTCAAATAATCAGATAGAACTGTTAAACAAAGGACTTAAAATGTATACAAAAAGTATTATAACGATTGCTTTTATATTGCTAGTAATAGAAAGGCAAACATTATAATACTTTCTCGTTTGCCGTCAGCATTCAGCAAATGTGCATTTATATCGTTTAAACAAATCTTTGAATGACTAATGAACATCTCATTTAAAAAACCTTGCAAACTTAGTCGAATCCAGCTGTGAGATCTTATGAAGTGTGCATTTGTATCCTGCATGATCGCGTGTTCTCTGTGTGACGGTCGGTCCGTGCGAATTGAATGCGGACAGGAGGAGAGTTCAGCTTCACTGGAGACATGTGATCGACAAACTTTAAACTCGTGATTTCAAATTATGCTGCACTTCATGCTTTTGCCCACTGTCATATTTATGTCATTTTCACTGTGTGCTTTATGTAAAATGAATGTTACCTTGGTTTTATTTGAAAAAATGTGATTCCCAATGCACACAAACTTCCCAGAATACTGAGTGCCCTGTTGGTTACAGTGTTTACTTCCTTTTTAATTTGATTAAATATTAGTTTATTTGTGAAAAATACTTTGTCATTTAAAGTATAAGCATGTTTATTTTACACATTTATTTTTTTATCTATTTTCAAATGATTTCAAATTTCTTAAATATTAAATAAAATAAATAAAATTATATCGGCTTTATATCGGCCACCCTGCTTTCCAAGATATCGGCATCGGCTGTCAAAAAACCAATATCGGTCGACCACTATTCTTAATATCCCTCCTCGTTTCCTCGCTCCTCCATCCTATGACCCAAAAACCGATCGAGCTCAGCCATCTTGTAGGACATCTCAGTTCTCTGATTGCACCGGAAGGAGGCGAGGATCGAGGAGGCTTCCTGAGGAGTCATGAGCGAGGATACACAGGTGTATCCATTGCGGAAGTGTTTTATCGATTAACGTGATGCACGCATAAATTCTCCTCCCCCTTCACATCTGCACCAAGTGCTAACCATGGCAGAAAATACAAACACACATAAATGTGAGTATTAAGCATGAAATTATTGTTACAGTGCCTTTAATTTCGATGTGTACATTTAAAGCACAGTTTTAATTACGTTTATTTACGTCTCTTGATTTTAATGGCTTATTGCTTTTAATTTTTTAATGCCTCTGATATTGGTTATTAGAGAACAATTAAAGCGAAAATATTAGATTTAATATGGGCTGCTTTTGGTGCTTGACACTTTTTTATTTGTCATTTTGTTTCAAGAATAAGGTCCAAGGTTAAGAAAACGCTAGAAGTTACTTGAATGTAAAATGTTTTTCTCTATTTAACATTACAATAGTGAAAGACGACTTCCCTCATTGATCACGTCTGCCCTCGGGTAGATTAGCCTACATGTTTTCTTGCGCGGCTGGATGTTGGAGTCATATAAAATAATCACGTTGTTTGCATTCGCCAAAACGGATTTGCTGAAAACAAAAAACACTGTGACGGTAATTGGCGTTAGTGCAAGTCCCGCTCGCTGTGAAGTGGGAGCAACCAGCCGGCAGAGGATTTTGCTTTGTCTTAAGGCTTCCTCGAACAGTTATGTTCACAATTTGTGATTTACTTAATGCATACTGATCATGCCTGTGAGGGGGCTGTGACTGGATGATGACAGGTGTCGGTGACCATTCTCAAGTGTCGTGATCAGCGTAGCAGTCAATAAAATGGACAAGGGAGGTCACATACAGGACAAATCAATTAGGCCAATATACCGCTTATAAAGGACAGTTGGCAACACTATGTAATACTATACAACAAATAAAAAGCAGTTAATAACTGGGAATAATTCATTGTTATTAATAACTGGTAATATAAAAAAATATATTTCTAATGTTCAAGAATCCCAACGTGCAAGCTAAATCCAGCAGTGTAGAGTAATCATTAATTGATGACGCTTTGAAGTGACGCTAAAGGGAGTGAGGATATATCATTTCACTTGATTTAATTCCTCCGTCCTCGCGTCTTTTCTTTGCATCCTTCCCTCGCATCCTGGAGGAGTGGAGCTAAGACACGAGGAAAGGAAATGAGGATGAACCCCCCCCCCCCGAATTTACATTTTTGGGTGAACTATCCCCTTTAAGCATACTTCTTCCTGAATTCTCAGTACTGAAATGTGTCTGTAGGTTTTCTGTAATTCCTAATATTCTCAATAAGTTTTAGATTCTTATCACTGTAATACAGATTTTTTCATCAGAATCAGAATAAAATGCTACAAATAATATTATGATTATTATTACATAAATACCAACTGATTATGATTATAAATTATGGGTTTTTTTATATTAAAATAATGAAAAGGAGTTTTGTGCATTTGGTAATGATTTGGGCAAAAATTTGGTTAATGTCACAATGCAAAATATAATAATTGTACTAAAATAGGCTTTGTTTTCTTTAAGCAGTACATGTAAAATGTAAAAAGTAAAGAATTTTAAAATATATAATAAAATAAACATTTTATATAAAAAATGTTTGTGATTTTCACATCTTTAGTCTATGAAAGTGATCATGTACAGATTAATGTACACATTTAAAAGACTGTAAAGAATTTAAGTTAATATCAAATTATTTTAATGATGACTGATTATGATTAAATATGTCAGGTAGAGATGTTTCTCACCACGTCTTCCTCTTGAGTACTGCATTTTACACATTCACACTGAAGCGAATGGATGCGCAGGATGTCTTTCTAAAAATGACAATCAATCATTAAATAAATAAATAAATAAATCATGCTTTTTATTTGCTCTCTCCCATTTGCTACCTTGAGTAAAAAGTTGAGCGTTTTTCCATGGCACAGTATATCTTTCTTCCAGTGTCCATCAGTGATAGTTGTTTCCTGCTTTACAAATTCCTCCGGAGTGAACCATCTTTCCTCAGTACGTATACACTTCCCACGTATCCCTGCAACAAAACATAAACGTGAACGTTTTCCACTCAAACCTTCAACACAGCCAAAACAAACTGCATACAGAGTTCTGCACACAAATCAGGGCAATAACATACCTGTCGCAAACCTGTATTTATATAAAGTCCCAGTAAGTGAAACACAGGTGACTGGTAAAGAAGGAGCCTGGAAAACAGACAGATCTGCCATGTCTTCTTCTTCCTCGACTCTCCCTCTGATCTCTGTTCCTCCTCCTCTCCATCCCTGTTCCTGGAAATCTTCAGCATCATTTTCTAGAGGAATAAAACACATTGCTGCGTTCAGACAGACAGCAGACAGCATGTGAATGAGCCTGGATGATCGTTACTCACCTTCACTGGAGCTCTCAGATGAGCTGACAGGAAACAGCTCATTCATGTTCTGCAGGAATAAACAAAGTCACTTAATAAATGTCACATGAAAAACAGGAAAAGCAAAACCTGACATTGCACATAGAGAGACAAAGTACCTTTTGGACACATGTTCTCTTTCTTCTCTCCTTCGGTGGACACTGAAGATGTTCCTCCTGAAAGAATGAGAAAGGAAGTGATCACACATGTATATGAAGGGTCTGCTGTATTTAATTTGTCAGTGCCCCTTTTCCTAACCTTCCTTTTGTTTGAGAAATTATCCAACTGAACGGCCCAACGTGAAATACCCCGACATCTACAACATGTTTTGGGGGGTCGACAGCTTATAAAAATGTAGTTCTGGGTTTTTTAGCTTGTTTACTGTACACCTTGTCACATAGCAGCTTTTAGGCATTGCTCTGTTTTTTTGTTATATGTCAGAAATGACAAGGAGGCAGCTTCCCGCAATAGAAAGTCAATGGAGAGCGTTGGATTGTTCCCCCCCCCTAAAGTTAATTTGTACATGCACATTGGACTTTTAATGTTCATATATATATATATTGTACAATAATTGGAAATATTGCCCAATAAATACAACCAATAATTATTTATATATATATATATATATACACAAGACAATGACCCTAAGCACATAGCTAAAATAACGAAGGAGTGGCTTCACAACAACTCTGTGACTGTTCTTGATTGGCCCAGCCAGACCCCTGACTTACCCAAACCCAATTGAGCATCTCTGGAGAGACCTAAAAATGGCTGTCCACCAACGTTTACCATCCAACCTGACAGAACTGGAGAGGATCTGCAAGGAGGAATGGCAGAGGATCCCCAAATCCAGGTGTGAAAAACTTGTTGCATCTTTCCCAAAAAGACTCATGGCTGTATTAGATCAAAAGGGTGCTTCTACTAAATACTGAGCAAAGGGTCTGAATACTTAGGACCATGTGATATTTCAGTTTTTCTTTTTTAATAAATCTGCAAAAATGTCAACAATTCTGTGTTTTTCTGTCAATATGGGGTGCTGTGTGTACATTAATGAGGAAAAAAATTAACTTAAATGATTTTAGCAAATGGCTGCAATATAACAAAGAGTGAAAAATGTAAGGGGGTCTGAATACTTTCCGTACCCACTGTATATAAAGTGTCACATGATCCTTCAAAAATCATTCTGATTTGCTGATTTATTGTCAATGTTGGAAACAGTTTTAGCTGCTTAATATTTTTTGGGAACCTGTGATACTTTTGTCAGGATTCATTAGTGAATAAAAAGTTAAAAAGAACAGCATTTATTCAAAATAGAAATCTTTTGTAACAATATACACTACCATTCAAAAGTTTGGGGTCAGCAGATTATTTTCTTTCTATTTTTGAAAGATATTAATACATTCAGTATTAATTCTAATTCTTTAATTCAGCAAAGATGTGTTAAATTGATAAAAAGTGACAGTAAAGACTGATATTGTTAGAAAAGATTTATATTTTGAATAAATGCTGTTCTTTTTAACTTTTTATTCATCAAAGAATCCAGAAAAAGGTATGTGATGAAAATGCTTTTTTATAATGGCCTCAGAAGGAGTCAAAGGTATTTACAATGTCAAAAAAACAGAATGTGCAGACTAAGAATGCCCAGATCAAAAATATGTATCCTTTTGAATGCATCATGTGATTTTAGAGTTACCAAAAAAGTGCTTAACAGTAGAACCTACAGTCATATGACTAGCTTAGATCATTACAAACCAATCACCAGAACAAACCACAGTGAAGTAAACTTGATTGGTATCAATTTTTACTAAAATCTAAGGTTTAAATGTACATGTATCTTTCTGTTCGGGAGTCTCTCTTGGTTGTTGTGACCAGTGAGCTCCCGGCCGTGAATAAACTTTCCTGCAAAGAGTAACTTGGGAGTTGTGTCTGGTATAGGCTGCGCAGCTAAGGAATAGGAGTACTAAAGATTCTACGCTCAGAGGACCACAGCAGTGACAGTGATAGTGTTGAAAGACTATAGACTCGCACTCGGGGTGAGGCTGAAATACTCAGAGTTAGTATTAATGATCCTGTGTCGGACCAGCGTACACCTGAGAAGGGCGGTGAGAGTGTATAGATGCTACAGACCTGGTGCTCATGTGCGGTTTGAGGTAGTGATAGTAGCTTCTTGACGGGACGCCGTCACCATACTTCAGGAGGGGAAGTATATTGTATTATATTCTTGACGGGAATTACACCGAATATACTGTAGTACTGTACTAGTACTGTAGTATTGTATTATATTATATTGTATGAATAACTGGAGGTTATTCAAATTGTCAGTGGTGAAGTCAGATTAGTATTGGGAATTTCCACGACAGGTATCCCAGGTTCCAAAAAAAATTAAGCAGTAAAAACTGTTTCCAACATTGATAATAAATCAGCATATTAGAATTAAGGATAATGTGACACTGAAGACTGGAGTAATGATGCTGAAAATTCAGCTTTGCATCACAGAAATAAATTATATTTTAAAGTATATTAAAATAGAACACTGTTATTTTAAATTGTAATAATATTTCATAATATTACTGTTTTTTTCTGTATTTTTGATCAAATAAATGCAGCCTTGATGAGCATAAGAGGCATTTTTAAAAGGTAATAAGAAAATGTACTGATCCCAAACTTTTGAACGGCAGTATATGTATAAATTTAAATTTGACAACAGTCCCAATCTACAGATTGATAATGCATTGACTTATTATTAATCTAAACAGTAAATGTTTATTTAAAAATATCTAAGTAAAGAGTATTTGTGAGTGTACGATAGGTTTACAGCAAAACCAAGGACAATTTCCAAATCCTTGATTTTTTAACAAAGATCCCAACAATCTGTAAGTGCTTGCATTATTTACCTCTATGAGTTTCTTAAGTGGTGTGTTTCTGCAGCGGATGCTGAGTTTCCAGTTTTTGGACTTTTCCTTCCCCGCAAACTTTTCAAAATCATTTGGGGTGAACCAGCGCCCCTGAGACAAAATACACTTTTCCCCTACTGGAGACAAGGATAGGATGCATTCATCAAATATTATAAACACACACTCTAATAAAATTAAGAGAAATTATAGCAAAAACTCAATGATGGTGAACCTCTGGGCATTTTGTCCCGATAGAGAGTGCCTTCTTTATCCCCACAGGTTACAGGCAGATGAGTTTTATAAACAGGCCACTTCCAAATCTGCTTTTCTCCTTTCTTCACAAGAGATGCTGAGAAAGAGAGAGAAGACAACACAGATCAGGAGAGAGTGAAAATATAGGAATAGGACATCAGGCACCAGGAAACACAGTGTTATTTTAGTATCATTGAAATATTATTATAGTTTTTATTAATATTTTGAATTAATTTGAGTAATTTTGTGTTTTGTTAGTTTCATCTTAGATTGCCTGAGGGTACATTTTTTATTATTTTGGGGCAAACTTTCCTTTAAGGTGATGATACACAGGGAAACGTTTTTGAGCAATGTTGCTGGGCAACTCTGCTGAGCAAGGTTGCTTGGGCACTTTCCCATTGAGAATGGGCAACAAATTTCCATCTGGATATTTTAGATCAGTCATGGGCCCTGTGTCTCACCTGGTTGCCCGCAACCAGCACGGATCAGCTCCAGGCATGACAAAGCGATATCGTCCTCTTTTGGAAGGCCAAACAAAGTAGTTTCGCTTTCACAACGAACCACACAGCGCCTTCACGACATGGCAGCGGCAACAACGATACTACAGCGAGAATAAAAGTTACGCCTTCTTTCTTTGCGTGAACATTTGGGCAGCGTTATGCAAATCTTCCCACATCGTGACGTAGATATGTGGGGGCGTGTTAGAACGAGCCATTTTAGGTAGGCGTGGTCGACTCTTAACTTTTATAAAGAATATCTCTTTGGATTTGAGACTTTAGTCTTTGCAACTTTACAGATCTTCTTTATGCACCAAGAGCTTGTAACACTCCAAAGAGAAAGGACAAATTGAAATCGCATCATATGACCCCTTTAAGGTTTACTTTATTGCAAGTAACAAAACATTTTTTTTTTTAAATGGCTTTAGTTTTAGTGTTATTTAACTGTATGCCTGATGAGATCTTAGACCTGCTGTAGTTCAGGGACTCACAGAATGAGGGTTTTTTGCCTGGTTTCTTCAGACTGGGTGTGGAAGCAGAGGAAGGATCAGGATCATCACTATCCTCACTACTTCTATCATCTTTACTTCTCTTTCTTTTGTAGTTCTTCTCCTTCCCTTTCTCTGCCTTTCCTTCACTCTCTTCCTCCTCTGCTGGTGTCTTAACATCCGGTTGTTTCTCATCAAATTTGAAAGTGCCTGGGACAAAGAAAAAAATGAAACGATAACTGTATATATATATATATATATATGAACGCATTCTTGCTCCATCATAGCATAGTAACGCAGCGTGAGCCTCTAGATAACATAACATAAAGCTGATAATAGTCTCTTTCTTTTGTAGTTCTTCTCCTTCCCTTTCTCTGCCTTTCCTTCACTCTCTTCCTCCTCTGCTGGTGTCTTAACATCCGGTTGTTTCTCATCAAATTTGAAAGTGCCTGGGACAAAGAAAAAAATGAAACGATAACTGTATATATATATATATATATATGAACGCATTCTTGCTCCATCATAGCATAGTAACGCAGCGTGAGCCTCTAGATAACATAACATAAAGCTGATAATAGTGAAAACCACCGACCGTCCAGCAGACTTTTTCTGAGCGTGCGTAGCGTCGGGTAGAGCTGCAGGATATGGTCTTCAAACACACAGCGCCAGAACTGATGTATGTACTGTGGTTTATTTTTCTCCACCCAGTCCAGAACCTCATAGACGCCCTTCTCCTTCTGCTCACGAGAACGCATCTTTTTCACATTCTACAGACAAAAACAGAGAAGAAGACAAAGGAAGATGGAAGTACAGTATGATCAGACGTCTTATGCCTAAATATGCAAAACAACAAACTGACAAACTTTGACAAGCAACTTTTTTAAAAAGTATAGTGGAGGTACCACGGTAAAGTGATGGCATGGTAATACCATGATAGTAAGATCGGTAATATTTTTTTAATTTTTTTTAAAGAAAATAATACATTAATTTATAGTTACAAAAAATTCATCATCAAAAAAAAAAAAAAAAGAAACTCTTTGGTCATTTTTGAGCGAGATGCTAACGGTCTAATCAGATTCAATGATCTATGCTAAGCTACAGCTAAAAGTGCTACCGCCAGACCCGGAGATCGGCTGAATGGATTCGAAAATGGTAAAACTCAACTGATTAACTTTAGGGGAGTTGGAAAATGAGCCTATTTTCAAAAATAGTGGAGTAGTCCTTTAATGTTTAATTCCTTAAAACATTGGCAAGTAGTCTCAATAAAAAAAAAAAACACTGCCTTAAAATAGACAATTCTGTCAACAAATGTGATTGGCTGAATGTTAGTTCACTCAAATCGAAATAAACAAATCAGAAAACACGGGCGGAAATATTGACGGAATATCGGGACATAATCGTCTTTTTCTAAAAGTGCGGGGGACATCTCTCTTTAGACCAAATCAATTAAGCTTATGAGAAATTTGAATCAAGGATTGAATTTGGAAAAACTTGAATAAATGATGACCATTTAAATTTTTGGGTGAACTATCCCTCTAACAGTAGTGAAAAGGGAGCAACTTATGAAAATTATAGTTGTTCATATATATAATTTATGAAAAAGAAGCAGAATAAGACAATAAGACAAATACAAAAGAGAAACAACTTAAACTCATTTTTCAGATACAGTAGGTTTACTTAACATATTTATTTAACATCACGGATAGGTACTTAATTAGGAATGCTGTCCCTTTAAGACGGAAGGCATGCATGTAGTACTGACACACGTTCAGTTTTCACCCACCTATTTACGTTCACTTAATCCATAACCAACTGTATTTACGTGAGATACTCTACACAATAGACATTTGGACTGCTGTGTGTGTATTTGAGCACTGAGAACTGATCGCTCGCTGTATATGAGAACTGAAGAAGTGGAGCGTGGGCGAAAGAGAGCACTTCTATCAACACGACTCCGCCTATCCGAGACTTCCGAGAGACTCCGAGACTTCACTAACTTTAAGTTAATCAAGTTAACAACAAATTCTTTAACAACGAATTGTGACTCCCGGGAAAAACGGGACGTCTGGTCACCTTATCCCTACCCCTTCGGGTGCTGAGGCCATTGTTTCAGATTGCTAGTTCGCATTTTGGTAGCCTATCCATCCATTGCGGCTGCCATAATGAGACTAGATATGCAAACGCCCCTTATCCGATTGCAATCCAATGACAGGGACGCATTTTGAAGGACAAGACAGTAGCCTATAGGATGCATTTTGAATGTCCGGTAGTCCTCAAATAACATTATAGTCCCATCTCGTCTTGTTAACGACCATCCATTGCGGCTGCCATAATGAGACTAGATATGCAAACGCCCCTTATCCGATTGCAATCCAATGACAGGGACGCATTTTGAAGGACAAGACAGTAGCCTATAGGATGCATTTTGAATGTCCGGTAGTCCTCAAATAACATTATAGTCCCATCTCGTCTTGTTAACGAAGACGCAGCATAAATTTCGTCATAGTTTTTATCATCAGATATTAGCTTTAGCTCATCAACAGAAAAAATGTTCATTAACGAATATTTTTCGTCGTCGTCTTCGTTGACGAAATTAACACTGCAGCCAATAGGAAAGAAGACGGCAGAGGTCATGTGATCGTCCTCCTCTCAGCTGTAGATAAACATACGCAATGGAAAAAAGTAGGCTCTGTTTCTCATTCATTTTTGTTTGTATGTATGGATTTAATTCATATTTATATTATATTTAGTCTTTTGCCTCCAAAATGTTTGTATTTAGCGGCAAGAAACCTGATTTGCTGTCAAGGGAACCAGTAGTGAGAACGTCCACTAGTCAGCCTCATCGCCAAAGTCGCGAGAAGGGTCTAGCTGCAGCCTCGCACTTGCACTCTCAAGCCCCGTTCACACCGCCAGCGACTTTTTCGCTGTATGTCGCTAGACTCCGTGCTGTGAAGACGCTTGTGGGCGTTCCTACTGCTGTAGCTCTAATGTTATTGGTAGACTGCACATATCTGGACATATAAAATGCAATCACAAACTGTATATTGCCGATAAAACTAAGATATCATTATATTATGACTAGGAATTAGACTTAAAAAGTACCATTCTGCTGTGAGTGTTGTTATATAAACTACAGCATTGCTCGTGCATTAAATCATTAACCGGTGCTAAACTGCTCACTGCATCATGTAATTAACAACTCGAACCATCAATGTATGAATCAAACTCACTTAGACAGCCAACGTTTTTTTTTCTACGCATCATTTTTTATATCCATGTATGTGGTTACAGTGAAATCGCTCAGAAAATCTGTCCTGTCTTGCCTGCACTCTAGACAGAATCTTCAGTCCTATTGGTTGTCGCTCGCGAAATTCGCTGCTTATTTGCATAAAGTTGAAGAATTCTCAACTTTTGTCGCTTGACTCGCATCGCTTGACACGCCCACATTCCGTCGCCAACGGTCACTGTCGCTCGTGTCGCCGGAAGTC